AGTACAGTTTTTACAAAAAATGGTAATTTTTTCAGCAGAAAACACCTAAAAAACAATAATTAAAGTTATTAATTAATTATTAATTTTTTAAATGATTTTAATTAAGAACTGGCCAAAAATTGACCCCAATAGAAGGCCACCCAAAAAGTAGCGATGTGCCAGGACCACTGTATAAGGGCATGCCCTTTTATTCTGGGGGGGGGTTTAGTCGTACTCGCGTTCTTGATCAAGTTCATTATGCGATCCCGTTTGATTTATGATTAAAGAGTGTGACGGAATCGCGATAGGATTATAGCAAGATCGTGGGTAATTCGCGACAAGATCTTGAGAAGATTTTTCCGGGCGATCGCGGTAGCGAGCTTGCGTTAAGTTTCAAATTTCTTGTCAAAATCGCGGCAAGATGAGGCTATATTCTTGCTGTGAAATGAAGCGGGAATGCTACTAGGGCTATGAGTGGCGACGTACATCACTAATATGTAAGAATTAATCAGACATGTTAAATTAAAATTTAAAACAACTAATTAGTAGAAAAGAGACTCCCGGGGATGACACTTTGACGAATATGACTTAAATAAATGGTACATTTTAAAATATACTAAAAGAAAACAGGCCCCATAACAGTGGAAGTTCCAGATTAATCTATAGACGATTTCCAGAAAATCTTAGAGAAATCTTTTTTTTATTTTGATGTTCTGCCCATTTGAAAAAATGTATGCCCAATCATTCGTGAGATCTCTTAATGATCCCTAGTAAATCATTAGGCATTAGCGCAAAATGGACTTTTTATACGGGGAACAGAATCGGTTCAAATTTTTTTTCTGAACAGTTTATTATATGAATCGACGGGCAGCAAAGTATCTCTCGATTCAAATCACTTTTCGCACTTTGACGCGAATAGTAGCTCGTTTTAAGTGACGCCACTGTTCGCGCCAAAATGCAAAAAGTGATTTGAATCAAGAGATACTTTGCTGCCCGTCGATTCACATAATACGTTCTTCAGAAAAAAGATTTTGTTCCCCGTATAAAAAGTCGATTTTGCGCTAATGCTGGCCCTTAGAAAACTTATTTTGAATTCTCTAACTATTTTGACATGTTAAAGTTAATTATGATTCCAAAAAATACGTTCCGTATTCTTACTTACATTCGCGAAATGTGAAGATCAAGAAAAAGATTGACAAAAAACTATTATATTGACAGTTTCGTTTTTCATAGATTAGACTATTCAATCTTGTTTTTATTTAAAAATATATGAGAAAAATACTCTTTCTTGACGGATAGAGAGTGCTATATCGCATTATATTATTTCTGAGAAACAATATCTTATGATGGGGAAAAAACCAACTAAGTCAGGTAGGCAAGATGTATACATATATGTATATTGACATAAATTACCAGATGACGAATAAAATCACTATGTATGTAAATGATTTTACACGTACATAGTGATTTTATTCTGTAAAATGAATTTTGTATAGTACGTCGAAAATAATTTAAAAGTAAATAATGGGATTATAAAACGTTGCTGTTATCGTGTTTTTTATTTTGAAAGTATTGTCCATTACCATAATAACATTAGAGCGTAATTTCTTTATTTTAATGATTTATGACATCAAATATATATATTCATAAATGTTTTGTTTTTCATGTATACATTAGAACAGAAAAAAAAAACATGGAAGTTATAATATTATATGATCCATCTGGCGTGTGTACTAGCAATTTTCAACAAAAATTTATTGATATGAGAATCTATAATAACAAAGATCAACTATTAAATTTTATTAAAGAAGATGACGTAAGAGAGAGAGATATTACAATATTTTTACCATCTCATGATGTACGAAATATCATATCTCAAGTTTACGATTTAAATCAAATTCATTCAATTTACGTTTATTATTCTTCTATAAATGAAGCACAAAATTTAAAAGATTGGTGGTTTAGCAATAATTATTTTAAAATACGTCAAATTTTTTGTCATGATCAGTTGATATCTAAATTATGTATTGTATATCTTAATTATTGTCGTTCAAATAACCTACCCTCAGAAGAGGCAGTACGTTACAATGAATTATATCAAAAATATTTAAACGACATCAAGTTTCAATTAATACAAGAAAGTAAGTAAGCATGTTACAGAGAGAGAAAACAGTTTTTCTTATTTATGTTTGATAATCTAGACAAAATAATTATTCTTATGTATATGTTGATGTTTTTTCGATTGTTTATGCAATTGTTTACGTAACATATTTTCTTGGAAAAAAATGTGCTTTAATCACTAGAGTTATTCGTTGCAAAATAATCACCAAAATCATACTGTTTTGATCCCCAAATTTCTAATTAGTAAACTGACAACAAAAAGACTATTAACAAAATATATATAAGAGGAATATATATAAATGGTAATATTCATTTATAGGAATTGGCATACGTTTTCATTTAAATACCAGGGGGTCATACGACAATGGGCAATTTTGCCTAGGCATGTGGAAATTGGATTTTAAAGCGCTGGAAAGATCTCTCAGATATGTTTTTGTAGGTTTTCGAGTGTGCTCTTTCTAATGGAGTCACTGACAAAGTTCAAAATTCATGTTTAAGGGTTTTCCAGAGATCCGGTCTATAGAAAACCTTTGCAAAATCAGTTTACAATTTTTTAAATAAGTCCATTGAATCAGCCGTACTCGGAAACCTGTAAAACAATTATTTGTAGGCCTCCAGATCTCTTTTCTAACGATATAAAAACCACTGGCCTCAAGTACCACGGTGCTGCCTCAAATTTAGCCTTCCACGA